AGCTGGAAGGCTGCCTCGGAACTTGAGCCACTTCTCGCGTAGCTCTGGTTGTAAGGGCGTATCCCAATCTATCTTGGCGGCCCATGTTAACTGCATCATCATCTTAGCGGTCACTGTTACTGGAGCCAGAAGTCCAAGAGGGTCGAAGATTCTGGCCACTTCACTCAATACCTGACGTTTGGTAGGGATAGGGTTAGCATCTGGCAGCGTTACCCGAAAAAGAATCACATCATTGACTGGTCCCCAGTAAAGCCCCAGAACCTTGGCATCAGTGTCGCCTAAGCCAAGTGTGCAGCTGTATGCCTCTGAACCAGATGTCGCCGAGAGCACGTCCACATCGTTGGATTTCCACTTGCAAAGTCGAAAGTGGCCTTGTTGCAATATGGTGGAAATGTCTCGCGCTAACGTGATTGCTTCATTTGGCGTGTCAGCGCTATCCAGGAGATCATCCATATAAAAGTTGCGTAAGATACTGTCCCGTGCAGCTGCAGCTCGATTAGCATCAGGAACCACGATTTGGTTGTCAATGGCGCACTGGTTCAGAACACGAGCAGAATTATAAGGGCTGCAAGCCATACCGTAGGTGACAGTCTTCAGTTGATACGCACGGAGCGGGTCATTGGGGCTTTCGCGCCAGAGGATCTGCTGCCAACATCGATGCCTGGAGTCCACTTCGATTTGCCGGAACATCTTCTCGATGTCAGCCGTGACAGCTACGCGGAATCGACGAAAGCGTAAGAGGATGTCAACTAGTGGATCTTGAACTGCCGGCCCAACCAGCTGAGTGTCGTTCAAGGAGACGCCATTGCTGCTCTTCGCCGAAGCGTTGAAGACCACACGGAATTTCGCGGTGACAGCATGGTGCGGTATAAAGTAGGCGTGGGATGGATCATCTCGTTGTTGCGTGATCTTCTTCATGTGGCCGGGCGTCTCGTACTCGCGCATAAACTGAACATACTTCTGGCCCAGGTCATCATCGCTCCTCAGACGTCTCTCAAGGTTGAAAAAGTGGCCTAGCGCCTTGCCGTAGGAATCACCGAGTGCAGGCGCATCCGGAGAAAATGGGATCTCCACTATGTATCGGCCATTGCTCTTGCGCGATACGGTTCGTTGGAAAATCTCTTCGCAAATGTCATCGGTCGTTTTGGGGCGAGGAACCTCCTCCAGATCCCAGAAGCGTTGAAGAATCTCATCGAGTCGCTCCTCCTCGGTAGCACATTCGGTCGGTGTGCCCAAGGCGGGAGTAACGCACAGCGTGGCGATGTAGGTCCGCATATGACCCAACCGAGATGCGTATGGAGAGCGCACGGCTGCTTAGGCCCACCAGTGATAGTTTCACCCAGGAGAAGCATGCCCATGATGTCCGCTCCAATGAGTACATCGATGCATCCTGGCGTGTGAACTGTCGGATCAGCCAGTGTTATGTTGTGTAAGTGTTTGTATCCGCGCGTGTCAATTGGAGATGCGGGAATCGTCGAAGTTATACTAGGCAAAATGTGCGCATCAAAACAGCACTCAAATTCTGCATCGTTATATGATCGTATCACCAGAGTCGTCTGTCCGCGCGAAGAAGTAGCCCTCTGCGAACCAATACCTTCTACCGTCAATGTGTAACGCCTTCTGTGGAGATTCAAACGCTTACAAACTGGCTCCGTAATGAAGCTTACTTGTGAACCCATGTCACACAAGAGACGACACGATAGTTCCTTTCCACACCCATTTACGATGGCGCCTTGGCAGTGGCTAGTAGGACGATTCCTTCGGATTGCGCCAGGA